AGGCCTCTTGGTGGCCTCTCGGAGCTCCCTCTGAGCTTATTGGGGCAGCAGGGTGGTGGTTTGGGGTCGAAGGCTCGAAATTTTCGTTCGGGTTCCCACTGGGCCCCTCTTGGGGGTGTCGTGGAACCGTCGTCTGGGATCCCTCTTGGGGGCCTCATAGGCAGTCTTGGGGCGATCCAGGAGGCTTCTTGGGCTGTCGTCGACGTTGTGAACGTACAATGGGAGAGTGTGCTAAACATGTACGTTTTCTCATGGGAATGGTCTCGGGACGCCGAGGGCTTTCTTGGGGCGTCTTGAAGGCCTCTTGGCCCGTCTGGAGGCCAGCGTGGGCGTTTTGGATCGATCTCTCGGCGGCTTGTGGCCCTCTTTGACCGTCCGGAGGGCCTCTTGGTACCCTATTGGCCTGTTTTGGAGCCTTCTGTCCCCCCGTGATGCGTTTGGGTGGTCTATGGGGCCCCCCCCCGTCCAAGTCAACCGGGCTGGGCTCCTGGGGGAGGGTTTTGTGGAGGGGGAACATCTCACACGCCGATGAACCCCAAGGGGTCGGCGGATTTTGGCCGCCATCGCATCGCTGCAGAGATTCTTCACGATATCATTCGCCTCAGCTTTTCTCCTTTCTCTCCCAAGAGATGGCGCAGATCAAGCAATCAGCCTGGCGAAGGACCCAACGATATGTAGCTGCGAATCGCATAGGGTATGACCCCATCCCCTCGTAGGTAGTGCGTCGCGGGAAGGATGGGGCACGGGACATGCGGATGGGGGCCGCGAAACGTGTGAGGGATGTGCCGAAATGGGCTGGGGGGCGCGTGCGGACTCTGCCACAAGAGCATTCGGTGCCCCCATAAGAGGCCACGACGCGTGTGAGGAGTGCGCCGATGAGTTTTGGGGCGCATGCGAACCCTACCATGGGAGCCCTCAGTGGAGCCCCCTTTATGGGCCACGAAGCGCGTGAGGGGTGTGCCGAAGTATCGGCTGAGGGACGCATGCGAACGATGCCACAGGAGCCTTCGGTGGAGTTCCCATATGGGGCCACGCAACGTGTGAGCGGTGTGCCGAAATGGGCGGCGGGGGCGCGTGTGAACGCTGCCACAGGAGCCTTCGGTGGAGCCCCCTGTGTGGCCATGAAGCGTGTGAGGGGTGTGCCGAAATATAGGCAGAGGGACGCATGCGGACGATGCCACAGGAGCCTTCGGTGGAACTCCCCATTGGGCCACGAACCGTGTGAGGGGTGTGCCGAAGTTGGGCTGGGGGACGCGTGTGAACGCTGCCACAGGAGCCTTCGGTGGAGCTCTCTACGGGGGCATGAGCCGTGTGAGTGGTGTGCCGAAATAGGCGGCGGGGACGCATGCGAAAGCAGCCGCAGGAGCCTTTGATGGAACCCACAGTGGGGCCACCGAACGTTAGAGGGGTGTGCCGACATGGGCGGCGGGAGCGCGTGTGAACGCTGCCGTGGAGGCCTTCGGTGGAGTTCTATGGGGCCGCGAAGCATGTGAGGGGTGTGCCGAAGTATGGGCTGGAAGACGCATGCGAGCGCTGCTGCAGGAGCCTTCGGTGGAGCTCCCTATGGGGTCACGAACCGTGTGAGGGTTTGTGCCGAAATATGGGCTGGGGGCGCATGCGAACGATGGAGCACCCTATGGGGGCACGAACCATGTGAGGGGTGTGCCGAAATGTGCGGCGGGGACGCGTGTGAACGCTGCCCCATGAGCCTTCGGTGGAACTCCCTATGGGGCCACGGAACGGGTGAGCGGTGTGCGGACGCATGCGAACGCTGCCGCAGGAGCCTTCGATGGAGATTCCTGCGGGGCCACGGCGCGTGTGAGGGGTGTACCAGAATGTGCGGTGGGGACGCATGCGAACGCTGTCACAGGAGCCTTCGGTTGAGCCCACGCACCGTGTGAGGGTCGTGCTGAAATGGACGGCGGGGACGCGTGTGAACGCCGCGGCAGGAGCCCTCGGTGGAGCTCCCTATCGGGCCACGAACCGTGTGAGGGGTGTGTCGAAATGTGCGGCGGGGACGCATGCAAACGCTGCCACAGGAACCTTCGGTGGCCACGAAACGTGTAAGGGGTGTGCCGACATGCGCGGGAGGGGCAGTGCAGGGATGGGGAGGAGGGAGGAGGGAGATGAGAAGAGAGGAGGGGAGGAGGACGCGGGATGCTGTTTCGTCAGCACGAGGGCCCAACACCACAGGATGGTCGTGCGGGCGGCAGCCGATGTGGCGGTTGGATTGGGAAACGTGGGCGGTATCTTGTTTAGTGCTTTATGCCGTTCACTGTGGGACTGTCGGTCAGGGCTGTGCCAAGCCGATGGGCCTGAGGCCACCAACATACTGACAGCGCAGTGTCATCCACAAAGCAACCACACCACGATATGAAACATTCTCCTGCTCCTCGTCCTCCTCTCTCGTGCTGTTCCTCGCCCTCCTCGTTCTCCGCCTTTTCCTCTCCGTCCTCCTCTTCCTCTGCCTCTTTCCTCTCCTCCTGCTCCTCTTTCTGCTCCTCGTCCTCATCTTCGTCCTCATCTTCGACCTGTCCCTCCTTCCTCGTCTGCGTCTTTCCCTCCTCCCTTCGTGCTCTTCCTCTGCCTCTTCCTTCTCCTCGCGCTCCTTGTCCCTGCTCCCCTCCTTCCCCTCTGCTCTACCGCCTCGACTTCGCGGCAGACTCTGACCCCCCCCCCGAGCACAGAGGGTGGGCAGCGGCAGAGCTAGGCGAGGACGTGGGGATGCGGAAGCAACGCACGGGGATGCGCAAACACACACAAACACACGGTGATGCGGACAGCAACACACATGTTTTTTTCCGCACCTCCATGTCCAAACACGCGGTGTACGTGTTCCGCATCCCCGTGTTTTTTGTTTTGCATCCCCATGTCCAGCTCACGGTGGCAGTGCGGCAGAGCAGCCCCCGGCAGCCAGGCAGCAAACGGAGAGTATTCCACGGGAGCAGGGAGCTGCCCTGGACAGGCCAGCGGAGACTGAACGGCTTCGCTGTCTGCGGTCTCGGATACGTCCCGTGGGGTCCGCTCAGACATCGAGTCCCCCCCCCGTGCTAAGCACCGCTTCCAGCGTACGCGAGGAGCTTGGGATTTAAATTCGTGCTGTGCCAGTTGGCCGTATTTGAGCCGCCTGCCAGAGACGAGGACCCATGCTCCTGATGCGATCGCCGCCGCCGCCTCCCTCTCTTTCCCTCCCCCTCCTCCTCCTCCGCCCCCTCCTCCTCCTCCTCCTCCTCCTCCTCCTCCTCCTCGTTCTCTCGTGGTCTCCCCGCCCCGCCCCAAAGAGGAAAGACGGCGACAACGGTTGTGGTGGTTATATCGGCGATGGCAGGATGAGGATTTTTGGCGATGGTTATGGCGCTGACGATGATTATGATGACGATGACTATGAGGATTGATGTCGATGCGTACGATGATGATGGCGATGACGACGGTGATGCTGACGCTGATGATGATTGTGATGACGATGGTGATCATACTGGCAATGAGTACGATGTTACCGACCATGTTTATGAGCCTGGCTATGAGGGTGGTGAGGATGATGCGCATGCCGATTACGATGCATATGACGACGTTGGTCATGATTCCGATGATGCCCGTGACGTTGATGTGTATGATGATGCTGCTATTGGCATGGTTGTTGTGATTGTTGCTGATGGTGACATGCCTGGGGATGGCTTATATGGTGATGTCAACGGCGTTGAGGATAGCAGTGTCAATGATGCTGATGCTGATGATGATGTTGGCGTTTGTGTTGAAGGTGATGGTGCTGATGCTGATGCTGCTGCTGTTGATATTGCCGTTGGGCTTCATGTTTATGTTGATGCTGATGTTGTTGTTGGTGATGATGCTGGTGGCGGTGCTGCTGAGGTTGATGATGTTAATGCTGACGTCGTTGATGTTGGTGGTGACGATGCTGATGCTGATGCTGATGACGATGACGATGCTGATGCCGATGATGATGATGATGAGGATGATGCTGCTGATGCTGATGACGATGCTGATGCTGATGATGCTGATGATGCTGCTGATGCTGATGTTGTTGATGACGATGATGATGACGTTGCTGCTGCTGATGATTCTGCTGCTGCTGATGATGATGCTGCTGGCGGTGATGATGATGACGATGCTGATGGTGATGATGATGATGAGGATGATGACGACGACGTCGACGATGATTACGATGATGGTGGTGGTGGTGGTGATGCTGATTGTGAGGACGATGACGATGACGATGATGATACAATGATCATGATGATGGTGACGATGATGATGGTGATCATGATGATGATGTTGATGTTGATGATTATGGTGCTGATGAGAAGGATGATGGTGATGATGGCGATGATCATGCTGCTGATGCTGATGATGGTGGTGATGATGATCATGATGCTGATGATGACAATGATGATGATGCTGCTGATGATGATGATGCTGATGCTGATGCTGGCGCTGATGATGATGACGATGATGATGATGCTGATGATGATGGTCATGGTCATGGTGATGGTGAGGTTGATGATGATGGTGATGATGTTGGTGATGATGGTGGCGGTGATGGCGGTGATGATGATGATGATGATGATGATGATGATGATGATGATGATGATGGTGGTGGTGGTGGTGGTGGTGGTGGTGGTGATGATGATGATGATGATGATGATGATGATGATGATGATGATGATGGCGATGGCGGTGGCGGTGGCGGTGGTGGTGATGAGTATGACGAGGAGAAGGAGGAGAAGGAGGAGGAGGAACAGGAGGAAGAGGAGGACGAGGAGGAAGAGAAGGAGGAGGAGGAGGAGGAGGAGGAAGAGGAGGAGGAGGAGTACCGAGGATGGAAAGGGAGGAAAAGGAGAAGGAGGAGAGAGTATGAGCAGCAGGGAGGGGAGGAAGGAGGAGGGGAGGGAGGGAGAGGATGGGGGCAGGGGGACGATCCGATTGGATCGCGGGAGCAAAGCAGCACGGGGCCGCGCCGCCGCCCGCGCTCGCCGCGCTGTCCGAGCCGCCCACGGCCGCCTCGTACACAGCATTCCATGCTCACCTGTGGGACTGCGCACCGCTAGCTGCTCTGAGAGAAGGACGGCGGGGCCGGCTGCCTCCTCCTGTCGCTGTCTCCTCCTGCTCCTCCTCCTCGTCCTCCTCTTCCTCCTCCTCTTCCTCTTCCTTTTCCCCTCCTCTTCCTCCTTCGGGCTTGGGGCTTAGGGCTGCGAGCTACGGGCCTTTAAGAGCGCGGTGAAGCGAAGCCCTTCTCCTCCTCCTCCTCCTCCTCCTCCTCCTCCTCCTCCTCTTCATGTCTTGCGCTGCTCAGACATTGGCCGGGTGGCCGTGCCTCTTCTTCTCCCTTCTCGTCGTCCTCCTCCTCCTCCTCCTCCTCCTCCTCCTCCCTTTCCTCCTCCTTTTTCCTCGAAGCACGTTGTCCGACGCGGATCTCAGTCAGACCTCGCCCCCTGTGTGCTGCCAGACGTGGGCCCGTCGCCACTGAGACTCCAGGGATGCCATGCGGAGCGGCGCCCGCCACAGATCCGAGGGTGGAGCCCTTGCCCGCCCCTTCGGGTGCTGCCAGGCGTAGGCTTGCGCCCACGGCGTGGAACCCCGCGGAGTTCAGCGGGACGGCGTCCGCGGACTGCCCCAGAGTAGGTCCCTCAGGGCTTGACGACTCTTCTCCTGTCGACTTGCAGGGATCAGGCCAGGTAACCCGGTTAAATCCAGATAGATCGAGATGTAGCCAGATAAATCGAAGTCCGCCGGCCCCCTTGTGGGGCCACCAGGCTGTAGGCTCAGGGTTTGCAGTTCCTTGCGCCAGTTCCCCTGCACCAGTTACAGTTCTGCTTCTTGTTGCTTATTGTTCCTTGTTGTAGACCGCGCGAGGGGGGGGAGCCGGAAACCGCCCTGGTTAGCACCTCCCGGGAGGGGTCTCAGAATTTCTGGGGGGTCGAAATTGACACCCCTCTCGCAGGTCGGCGGGGTCAGGGTCCAAACGCACATGGGATTTGCCACATTTCTGAAATTCGCTGGCACCCCCCACGCAGATCGGCGGGGTCAGGGTCCTAAAACCAATGGGATTTGCCACATTTCTGAAATTCGCTGGCACCCCCCACGCAGATCGGCGGGGTCAGGGTCCAAAAACCAATGGGATTTGCTACATTTCTGAAATTCGGCGGCGCTTCTCACGCAGATCGGCGGGGTCAGGCTCCAAAAACACAAGGGATTTGCCACATTTCTGAAATTCGGCAGCACCCCTCACGTAGATCGGCGGGGTCATGGTCGAACAACACATGGGATTTGCCACATGTCTTGAAATTCGGTGGCGCCCCTCACGCAGATCGGTGGGGTCAGGGTCAAAAACAAATGGGATTTGCATCATTTCAATATTTCCTGTTGCGCAGCATACGCGAGCAATCTCGAAGGACAACACCGAAGTCAACAATGTCATCAGAATCTCGACTTGTCTTGCCGATTACTCATCGTCTTCGCGTGAAGTCCCGACGCTGCTTCACGGCGGCGCCAAGGCCTCATGATTTCGCTCTTGCATTGCCCATTATCCGAGAGAGGGGACCGGCGGCAGGGGGCGAAGCCCTTACGGATAACTCCATCAATCTCCATGGAAATCTGGAGCAATTCGTGGACGCTCCAGCGCGAGTCGAGGGACAGCTGAAGTTGTTAAGCCTTTGACGAGTAGGAGAATGTACCGACGATACCGCTGCGCTTCCCTCGTCTTCGCCTCTTGGGGCCTCCTGGGGGGCCCTCGTCGCCACGGCTGGATTCGCCTCGAAATTCCGGTGAGAACGCGCCCCGGAAGAAGTCTGTGGAGTAGCGGCATGGTACCTTTTGGTCTCCCCAGTGCGTCCCTTGCCCTTCTCCACGCGGACCATGAGACTTCACTTTCCTGGATGCTCCCATAAGGAGTGCCGTCGCTGAGCCCCCAGAGCGGGTCGGGATGCGCGCCTGACGTTGCAAAACGTATTCCAAGAGTTTCACGGATTGAGAGAGGTTCCTTTTCAAAATGTGGCTCTCGCCTTAGTGCCGCGCACATTCGACTCGAACAGTTGCAAGAGTTTCGCGGGTTCCCATGGCTAACGTACCAGAAACGGTGCTTCGGAGCGATGCAGGATTGTCAGGGCGCAACAGTTACATTTATTTGCGGTGTTGAAATCCCAGTCACGGTTTTCTGGCACGTTTCAAGGTCCCGGGAATGGTGTTCTCGGAACGGTTCTGAAGTCCCAGGATTGGAACTTCCTCCTCGTCGTCCTCCTCCTCCTCCTTCCCCCATGGTTGGTGTTCTGGCACGGAGACGTCAGGCCAGCCGCGTTGCGCGTCAGAGCCGCCAGGTCTGGCAGTTTTGTAGCCCCTTGCTGGGAACACCTGGCCGGGCAGGGCCAGCTGCTGCTGCGGCTGCCGCCCGCGGCCCCTCCCTCGCCTGCATGAGGGCAGAACCGTCCTCCCTCCCTCTCGTCCTTCCTCCTCCCCCCCCCTCCCCCACGCCTCCCTCTTCCCCTCCCTCCCCCTCCCCCTCCACAATTACACAATCTGAATGCTACTCTCCTCTCTCCCCTCGTGGCGTCCAGGAAATATTCGGCCAGGCTCCGCGTACTGTTTTTTTACACAGGATTCCTGGGAAACATTTTGTTGTGTCTCTTTATTCTTTGTTGCTTCTTAGAAAAAAGATGCTCTCGCTGAAGCGCTGGCCTCATTTTCGGGCTACCGCTCGTTCCGAATCGTGCTCCCGCTGCAGCGCTGGCCTCATTTCCGCGCTTCCGCTCGTCCCGAATCGTGCTCCCGCTGCAGCGTTGGCGTCGTTATTTCCAGCGTCATGCCACGGCATGGTTTTCGGTCCTTCCGAATCGGCCCCAACATCTAGAAAATAGTTCCCCGAAAAAATCCATCGGAAGTGATTACACATTCGGTGCCGATTCGTTGATTTTTTGGGCCGCAGAAGCCCCCCCACTTTGGGGCGTCGCCACGGCATACTATGTCAGGCTACGCGTTGATCTTCAACACCATGCTATGCAATGTAATGCTATGACGCCATGCTATGCCATGTAATGCTATGCCATGCTGCGACATTCGAGTGTGCGAATAGAAAGGAGATCTACGCCATGGTCAGGGATGGGAGGGAGGTGCAGGACGTCAGATATGACGCGAGCGCACCTAGCTCCCACCCCCCTCCCTACCTCCCCTTCCCTCGTCCTTCTTCCCCCGTTCCTTCCCTCTCCACTCTCCCCCTCTGAGCTCCTCCCCGTCCCCCTCCCGCCGAAGCCGCTGGGAAGACCGCCGCATAAGGGGCCGCGGCCCCGCTTATCGGGCTGGCGTTCCCCGCCCGCGCGCGGAACGGCATCGGTGCTCGCTCGCTCGCTCGCCCTCATCGAGGATGACGATGACGATGGCGATGTCATCGTCATCGTCATCATCCGTCTCCTAGGTTCCACTTCGACTCGATCTATCTGGTTCGATATCGATCCCGGCTGGGTCCGACCCGATTCCGATGCGGCCCGATGATTGCATGGGCGATGGCAGTGCGTTCTGGCGCGACCGATCCGGTCCGATCCTGACTCCGCGCCGATGCAGCCCGGTCCGGCGCACATTCCATTCGGATCCGACCCGATTTCCCTATTCGATGCTGACTGATCCTGCCTCCTCCCTCCCTTAGGATGAAGCTCCTAGGAGGTTTGATTTTAGATTCAGCATTGGCGCTGGTAGTTCCGTGGTCGGAAACCAGCCGAATCCAGGCCGTCCAATCTGATTCATTCCGCTCAATTAGGCTTACTCCGCCACCTAATCCAGTCTAGCCCTGTTCAACGTCCTCTCATCGGGCTTAATAGCTTTTCATCGTCTCGTGAATACCTCCCAGGAGTTGCTTCCCGATTCGACGCTGACTGATCCTGCCTCCTCCCTCCCTTCGGGTGTTTCCAGAGGTGATCCTGGCCATGAATGGCCCCAGTTTTCCCAGGGAGGCGCAGATGGCTTCCGAAGCGCCCCTGACGAGGCCCAAAGGGCCCCAGAGGCCCCAAAATGGCGCGAAAAGCCAGGGACATCCTGAGCCCGGACCACTTTTCGTGTGCGAAAACATATCCGTATCGACGGCCTTGCGGGCTTGGCCCCGGGGCTGCGGCCCCGCGGATACGGGGCGTTTTTTTCGGACGCCCTGCGCGGAGCGTATCTGTGCGACCGCGTATCCGCGGGATCGCGCCGCAGAATCCAGACCGCGAGGGCGTGAGTATGCTAGGGTGCAATTCCTGGGCGTTGAATTCTGAATTGGCGCTGGTATTTCCCTGGTCGGAAACTCGCGTAATCTGGCCCAATCTTGCCTAATCTGGCTTGATCGCGCTTAACCTGGCTGGATCCCGCTTAATCCGATTCAATCCTGGGGTTAATCCAGCCTATCTGGCTCAACGGCCCTTCCATCGGGCCTACTAGCCCGATTAACCATTCTGACGAAGACCCCCCAGGAGTTGCCTCTTAAGACATGCATGCGCTCTCCGCTCGTGAACTTCCAGCAGCACCCGAGCCCTCCTGGCCAGGACAGCGCGACAGCCGGCATGGCCATGCGGAAGGCCGTCCTCGCCCTTGGCCTCGCCGTGCGTCGCGAGGCGACCCGGGCCCGCCCTGCTCCGCCCCCGGGGGCCCTCGAGGGGGCGGCCCTCCGGAAGCTCGGGAGTCCCGGCACGGTGCGGTGGTCACGTCGTCAGGGCGCCAGAGGACGGGGGCTTCGCCAAACGTGGGCTTAGGCTTTTCCATGTGCTCCCGTCTGCTATGCCCCCGTCTGCGGCGCTCAGGGCCGCCTAAACGGGGGCATAACCAAACGTGGAAATCGGCGTTCCCCGTGCCCTCGTTTGCTGTGTCCCCGTCTCTGGCGCTCTGACATCAGGGACAGCATGAGGTTTTTGGACGTCTTCGGACGGTTTCGAGATCGGAGGTCTTTTGACGGTTTCGTCGGCTCTCGGCGGCTTTCCAGCCTCAGGGTGTCTTCAGCGGCTGCGCCTCGCTGAGTGCTTTCCAGGGGTGCCCAGATCGTCCCGAACGGCTGCCTTTCGTGGACACCGATGTTGCACTCTGTGCAGGTCCGTCATGCATCGTCGACACATTAGAGTTCGATATTGCGTTCGCTTTCGAACATGAAGCAGGCCTTGATGACATGTGGCTCCATGGAAGGGGAGAGGTACATGTACATGTGAGAGTTTGTGAGAGTTCACAGCTATGCAGTCCAAGGGCGAATCATACGTCGATCAATCGTACCTTCCTGTTATAGTTCAATTTGCGACAAACCAACTGGTAAAACATGCAGTGCTGCTGCGCAGTCCAATTTACACGATACGTGCAAGATTTTTGGCTATGCCAGGGCACCCTGGTTCGGACTATGAGAATGCAAAGATGTAGCCATCCCAGGATTTGAAAGAACATATGGTGGGCAACTCTGTCTACGACTGAACCCCGTAAAAGGACCTCGGTTGTTCAATGCGCGCCTCGCCTTGCTTGTGGACGTTGACGTCAAGGTGGAGCGATGACTCCTCGCGGTCCTGAGGGACCATGTGCTAGATTCACAAGCTCCTCTGGAGCTCCGGCTCAGTCATATTTCCCCGTAGTTCACCGCGGTCGTCTCCGTGTCTTCTTCCATCCTCTCGCCAATGCCTTCGACTCTCGTCCAAGTGTGTCTTGGCTTTTAAGCATATCGTGGACAATCAACTCCTGAAGCGAATACTGGTGTCCTCCCTCCCCCGTATGCCCCATGCTCTGAGAAAGCTCCCTCATGAAATACTTGCTTGGGCTTTCCCGATTTCCCAACCATCCTGTGGTGTTGGGTCCTCGGTTTGAAGAGACGGTCCCCGCGTTCCTTGATCCTCCTCCTCGTCCCGCTGCCCCCCTCCCTCCTCCTCTCATCATCATCATCATCATCATCATCATCATCATCATCATCATCATCATCATCATCATCATCATCATCATCATCATCATCAGCATCATCATCATCATCAGCATCATCATCATAGCCACTTTGGCTCATGCACTTGCTGAGCCACGGGCTTTCACACTGCACCGGCAGTTGCGTGGGTCATGGTGGTTCTCGCTCGCGTTGCCTGGGCTCGGCGGCTGGCTGCTGGTGGCACCCCCGTGCACATCTCCTTCTCGGCCGCCGCTGCGCAGGGCAGGGGCAAGATCAAGATGCTGCTGGCGCACGATTGCCCTCTCGTCTCGGACACCGTTCGGAACATCACACTGGCTCAGTTCGACCTCATCGAGACCCTGTGTACAGAGTACGTGGCTGTGGACCGTGGACATAAACATGCTGGGACGCGCACCAGTGAAGTCGCCATCTGGCTCTCGGCGGCACCTGATCGTGGTGGGACCTCGCGTGGCGATCGACCTGGCCATGACGGGGATGACGCGAGCGGTCGTGGACCTGGTGGGCCTCCTTTCGATGATGGTGCTCGGCGTGTCCCACCTGCTCCTCGCGGATTGGACCCTTGGCATACTTCTGGTGGGGTTGACCCGTGGCAGGCCGGCCGCAGAGGGCCTGAAGCCAAGCGGCCGCGGAAGCATCCTGGCGTTGGCGTCGATCATGATATTCTTGGTTGTGGGCCCCTTCCTGCTGTGCCCACGTTCCCCTTCAACTCGGAGGCTCCTGCTTTTTATCCTTATCAGGCTGATGGCGCTGTTATCCTTGGTGGTGCTTGCTCTGCTGGTCTTCTAGATGTCCACGTTTTTCACGATACAGTTGATGGACCTGAGTGTACAGATGATGTTCGGACTTCTATCCAGAGCATGCTTGGCCAGCAGTTGGCCATGCTCTCTTTGCGACTGGATGGCCTCTCGGACTCTGCTGCGGCTTGTGCGGATCTTCTTCACGCTTCGGAGGCTCGTGCGAGTGCTGATCTACCTGTACGTGCTGATCCTGATGTCGATCCTCCCGTTCGTGCGGATCATGATGTCGATCTTCAGGTATGTGCTGATCTTTCTGTACACTGTACGTGCTTATCATGTACGTGTTGCTGAAGCTGATCTACCTGTACGTGCAGATCTTGATATCGACCTTTCCGTTTGTGCGGGTCCTGAAGTCGATCTTCATGTTCGTGCTGATCTTCTTGTACGTGCTGATCTTGTACGTGCTGATCTTCTTGTACCTGCAGACCTTCCTGTACCTGCAGATCCTGTTCGTGCTGATCCTGAACGTGCTAATCACGTACGTGCTGATATTCCTGTACATGCTGATCCCTTACGTGCTGGTCCTCATGTGCGTGCTGATCTTCAGGCTGTTCATGCCGAAGCTGTTCATGATGCTGGCATACCTCCTGTGCCTCTTCTCGCGTCCTTCCAATACATGCTCGACAGGCATCTGGGTAGGTTTGCGGAGTATATTGGTGTGTGTACTGTGATGGGCTGCGCGTGCCGCGCCCTCATGACGGTGGTGCTCCCCCTGTGCGTTCTTTGTCGTGGGCCTGCCCACGACGGTCCTGATGGCTCGGCTGGTACGGATGCTCCCTTTCCGACGGATGCCGTGGCTCTCTCTGGTGGTGTTCCCTATCCTCCGGCCTCTTCGCTCACGCCGGGTGGGCATAGACGAGTTTCGGCCTCTGAGTTGGTTCGGCTCCAACAATTTCGGAGGGAAGCGATTGGTATCTCTGATGAGGAGGCCGCCTTTTACCGTACGCTTCCTCGCTATGAGAATGGCTCTGGGCCTTCATCGCGTGCCAGGCCCCTGCCGAGGGATATGCTCTATTGAGATCTGCGGCTTTGTGTTCGGGGAGTGGCTTCGGTGGTCTGGCCCTTTTTAGGGTCGGCACGGCCAGGTGGGTGCCTTGCGCGGGCGCCCCTGGTGATGCTACATGCCCCATAGTGCAGGACTCAGTGGAGGGTGCTTCGGTGGTCTGGCCCTTTTCGGGGTCGGCGCGGCCAGATGGGTGCCCCGTGCGGGTGCCTCTGGTGACGCCCCAAACCCTGGCGCCTCAAGAGGACGAAGCTCGCTGCGGGCCCTGGGGGTGGGAAAAAGCATCATCATCATCATCATCATCATCATCATCATCACCATCAGCATCGACGTTCGACTGTCTCTGGTTTGCTCCCTCTTTGGTCTGCCTGCCTCTCTGCCTCTCTCTGCACCGCTGCTGCCACGCGCCGCCAGCTTGTGGGCGGGGTGCGGCCACCGACCCGAGGTTCCCCGAAAGCCTTTCTCTGTCTGCTTCTCTTCGAATTCGAACCCCTTTATCGTTTGCGGGCGGCATGGAGCGCTGTGCATCCTGTGCAAGCCAGGGTGTGCAATTCCATGTTCTCCGCTTGCCTCTGCTGTATTTCCTGCCAACCGCAGGTTTCCGATGAAGTGCAGCAAGGCACCCTCTTGCTTGTGCCGTGTGCCAATTGCGTCCCTTGGCCGGGGGGCCATGTGCGACTCGAGATGGCGGTCACTGGCTGAATTGCTGATCGTGGTCCTCCCTCCTCCCCTCCCCTGGGGCTCGCACGCAGGACTTTTAGTTTCTGTTTCCGTAAGGACCTCATCACGTTGTCATCGCCTGCTGCCATCGGTCTCGCGGGAACAAAAATCATCATCGTCATCCTCATCATCATCACCATCATCATCATCACCATCAACCTCATCAACATCATCAGCATCATCGTCATATTCCTCCTCCTCCTCCTCGTCGTCGGCATCATGATCATCATTATCATCATCATCATCGTCATCGCCCGTGTCAGCGCACCCCTCTCACGTTTCGTGGCCCCGCAAGGAGCTCCACCGAAGGCCCCGCTGCTACAATCCACGTGCGTCCGCCACACCCATTTCGGCACACCCCTCACACGTTTCGTGGCCCCATAGGGAGTCCCACTCGAGGCCCCGGAGGCACCGTCCACATGCGTCCGCCACGCCCATGTCGGCAAACTCCTCACACGTTTCGTGGCCCCATCGGGTGTTCTACCGAAAGCCCCAAAGGCACCGTCCACATGCGTCCGCCACGCCCACTTCGGCACGCCCCTCGCACGCTTCGTGGCCCCATAGGGAGCTCCACCGAAGGCCCCGGAGGCACCGTCCGCATGCGTCCGCCACACCCATGTCGGCACGCCCCTCGCACGTTTCGTGGCCCCATAGGGAGCTCCACCGAAGGCCCCAAAGGCACCGTCCGCATGCGTCCGCCACACCCATTTCGGCGCGCCCCTCGCACGTTTCGTGGCCCCATAGGGAGCTCCATCGAAGGCCCTAGTGGCACCGTCCGCATGCGTCCGCCGCACCCGTGTCGGCACACCTCTCGCACGTTTCGTGGCCGCTCCCAAGGGAGAAAGGGGAGTAGTATTCATATCGTGTAAGTGTGGAGGTGCAGCCCCCTCCCCGAAGGGGAAAATGGAAGAGGAATCTTCGGACCCCCCCTGAAAGGATAGTCGGATTTGGTATGTGGGCATTTTGATGTCCATCTGTTCATGATTGAAGGCTCCATATTCAAAAGGACCAAACGACACTCCAACTCGTGCCTTGAGGCACGGTGGCGGATTGGCCAGGCTACGTCGGTCCAGGTGAGCATCCCCCTGGCAAGGCGCGGAATGCAATACCCTTGTTGGGTCGCTCGTTGAATAGCCGTCGGGTCGTAACATCAGGTCATGTAGAAATTTTCGATCTGTTGACAGGAGAGGAGGACGAAAGAGAAAAAGGCTCCAACAGAGACCGTCAATTTTTCGACACCTCATCTAGTCCCAGTGCGTCCGATTCGGACGGTTGGGATAACGTGATCGAGCTGTTGATTGAGCCGGGGTGAAAGGGATTCACGCGGTGGATGCATTTATTCAAGGCGCTTCGCGGTCACCGCCCCGCCCGTGCAATTGTTGGAATATTTGATGACATCAGGCCGAGATGGATGCCTTACTGGTATGTGGGACTGCTGCTTGGTTGATCGGTTGGGGGGTAGGTAGGCTGGTTTGGGTGTCGGACGAGGCCTGTATCATGAAAGGTGTAAACCAAAGTTCAGAGATCATGAGCATGAGCTCGAGCGAGGGGGGCTAGGTGGACGGGAAGAGGACAAGGTTGAGGAGGAGGAGGCAGACGGGCAGCTGTAGGCCAACGCGGAAGCGCAGTGACTGCACCACGGCACACTAACACGGCCCGAATATGGGTCCGAGGTGGGTGAAGGTGGGGCTGAGAGACCCATGGGGCCAAGAAGGCCTCAAGGCGGGCCGATGCCAAGAGCCCCCAGAAGCCTGAACAAAGCCCCGAAATAGTCGAATGCCGCTAATGGCTGCCTCAGGGGGGTCCCTGAGTGGGCCCAATATGGAGTTCAATGTGATCGGAGTTCAAGCTCGAGGTTCATCGATATTGAAACGCGCAGAACATGTTGCCGACAACGAATCGGGACCCAAAGACCAGACGAGATCGTCGCACCATTTTGTCATTGCCCCCCAACCCCAGTGGTGAATTGGGCAGTCGTTCTCTCCGTGCTCGGCCGCGTGAGTCCTTCCCTTTTTCTTGGGGAAGCTTCGGGGGCACACAAGCTGGGGGCGTCAGTGAGGCGGCTACCAGCGAGAGGCAGCTGCAGACAGACAAGGACAGGCAAGGCAGCGAGTAGCGGCCGCCCAACTGGCTTGTGATCTTGTCGTCCACGACCAAGGCAGAGTTGCCAGGATCCTCGTGGTAAGCGCGTCTTTGCTCCACCTCCGCCCCTCCCCCTTCCTGTTGATCATGCCGTCTGCTGGTGCTGCGTTGCCCGCCACCGCTCCTGCTGCTGCTGCTTCCTGGCGCACTTGTTTGGCGACGAGCTTTACGCATATACATTGCTCCCTTGCCACGCCCATCCTGACCCTGGCAGCGTTGTATACGCCACGCCCTCCTGGCTTGGCCAGGAGGGCGTATACACAGCTGCTGGGTTCAGGATGGGCCTGGCCAGGGAGCATGGGATATGTGTAGAACTCGTCGCCCTACTTGTGCCAACGCACCCCTCGCGCGCTCCGCGCCCTGTGATGGGCGTCGGGCGCGCGGCCCCGTCCGCGGACGGCGGCCTGGCGGCGGCGCCGGGCGGAGGCGCGCGGCCCCGCGGAGGGGCCGCGCTGCGGCTGCTCTCCCCGCCCCCTGCCTCCTGCGTGGTGGCAGCCGCCTGCCCGAGCCCAGCTCGGTGCTCCCTCGCGCGCTCCCCTTCCTCGGAGGGGGCCACAGCTGCGGCTCTGGTGGGGGACGTTCGCGCTCGCTCCACTGCTGGGGCCCCAGCTGTCGCCCCGTCGAAGGTCCCAGCACGCCCCTCGCACGCTTCGTGCCCCAGGAGGGAGCCGCAGCTGCGGTCTCAGCGGGGGCGTGCCCCCCGCTCAAATCGGCGCGCCTTTCCCTCCCGCGTTACAGTCCCCACAGGCAGTGCCAGCCACGGACCCAGCGGGTGCGTGCGCATGCGCTCGCCACGCCCGCTTCGGCCCATCCCTCGCACGCTTCGTGCCCCATGTGGGAGCCTCGCTACGAACCCCGCAGGAGCATTCGCATGCACTCCCCGGCCTAATTCGGCACGCCCCTCGTTACCTCGCGCCCCCTTGTACGGTGGCCCCAGCTGGGGCCCCAAACACTCCTGCCCCTTCTTTCTGGGGCCGTCGTCAACTGTTCCCCTCAGTTCTTCGGTCTGAGGGACTCTTGGAAGCAGTTCAAATCTTCCTGGGGCTCTTGGAGTTGCGCTGGGGCCATTTCGGGCCTCGTTGGCTGGCCACCGTGTAGTTGTCCTAACGCTTCGACAGCCCACCTGATGACGGAAAGGCGCGAAAGCAGCGTCATAGAAAAGTTATTGGTTTTCCATGTATCTGACCCCGCGGGTGCTTCTTACAGTGACCCTAGGGCCACGGTGGAGATGACTTGGGGCCAACTGGGGCCATCGTGGAGCCGACTTGGGTCCAGCTGGTGACCCCCGTGGCGGCCATCATGGGCCAGTTTTTGCAGTCTTCGATCGTGGGCTGCTGTGGGCTGGCCTGGTGCGATCGCTGACAGTTTGGAAAAGGCACCTTTGGCCAAGTGGGCTGTTCTTGGAGCCTCTTGGGGCCCCCCTCGCTCTCCCCCCGAAAGGGGTTCTCGACTCCCGGCCACGGGGGCCCACAGGGGAGGTGGATCTCGCACACACCCAGGTCTCGCCCTCGGCGGCAGGCGGCGGAAGGCCAGCCGAGGCCGGCGGAAGTAAGAGCGGCGGCTCCGCCAGGGCAAAGTGGCGGAAGTGAGGGGGAGACGTTTTTGGTTGTTGCTGTCTCAGGGATTCCGGAATCGGCCTCCTGGCCACCTCCAGCAATCGGACTTCGGCGGATTTGTATTGATCATGCCATGGGGCAGGTGCCCGCGGAGGTGTCGCAGGTGTTTGAGATCCCGGCTCCGTCTCAAGAGCAGCGCGGCGCTCACTGCGTGTCGAAAATGAAGGACAATGCCCGCATTACGATTGGTTGATCAAAGCGCGGTCGGATTTAGTATTTGTTCGACAGTTTCCTGTCATAACATCGTTTGACCCTGGCTATGTGTACCACACGGTTCCGTGCAATCGCAGGAGTTATTGGGCTCATGTCTGATCATATTTCTTTTTGTCTTTGCTTGCAAAATTGTGCTGGTGGCCCTCCTGGCCACATCGGGTATTGCAATGATGACATGCTGCGAGTAGTGCCTGGCGCTTTGATCGACTTTGCATTTGTTGATTCGACTTCGCATGTAAACGCCACATCGGATGGTGAGCCTTTGCTTCGTATACCCGAGAGCTGGGTCGATATGGTGGGGACAGAGAGCGTGATCATTCGTTTCTGGCTCGAACGAGGCATTTTCACGAAGCCGCTGGCTTGCCCAACTTACCCAAGACATGACAGACATGGTCAGTACAACAAAAAGCTTGAAGTGTGCACTCGAGTCTGTCGAGTTGGTGAATTGCATTGAGAATGGTTTGGACAACAGTCGTTGTTGAAATATCCTACTTGTGGTTCGATGGGCAACTTCAGCTAACACCGTGCGCGACTCTTTATCCCAGTGGATCAGGGACCTTCGTAATCGCAACGCCACGACTGCCGTTCTAAAGAGACGGCCATAATCGAATCGTCGTGAATGCCTTGTGCAACCACTTCTGAACCAACGGGCCCTCTGTCACGGTACTCAATCACTGCCCTGTCCAACGCGAGATTCGTCAGCAGGGCACGCAGCACGTGGTACGTTGGTCGCCATGTGCCAGAGTTCTAGAGGCAATGACCAAGGAGGAGGAGGAGGAGGATGAGGAGGAGGAGGAGGAGGAGGAGGGTGAGGAGGAGGAGGCGGAGGAGGAAGAGGAGGATGAGGAAGGTGATGAGGAGGAAGAGGAGGAAGAGGTGGAGCAGGAGGAGGAAGGTGAAGAGGAGTGCAGAAGTGGAAGCCTGACAAACGTTACAACACGGGGTGCCGTTCTGCCCCCCGACCCCCAAGGAGAAACACTTCTCCGCTTCGGCGCTCGAGACATATACCTACGCAGAGTCTCCATGCCGATCATGGCCCTTGCGTGAGCTCGCTGCAGGTGGTCAGCTTGCTCCTGTTAGGAAGGAAGAGGCCGAGCCCAAAGTTCCCGTCGATGGCAGACCTCATCTCACGTCACCCGTCTTGCAGCAAGTCACCCCCCACAACCAGGGCGTGCCAGTAACTCCATCCACTCCGCGGCGCTTGGGAGCATACCGTCAAAACGAGTGTATTCCTTTTTTCCCTTGCCATAGCCGTGGCCCGCCAGGCGCAAAGACAATCTGTGAACTGCCGCAAAGTCACGAGCACGCCAGGATGTCCAAACTTCCTCAATAAGCTGCTCCTGACGCTGCTGCTTCTCCACCCTCGCCAGCTGCTTGAACTCGTCAGCAATCTATTCCACCTGTTCACAACACTGTCTGAACTCCTCGTCCGAGGTGAGATCTCCCATCGTCGCTCTGAGCTGTCGCCGGTGTGCGAGAAGTCAGCCGTGTCGAAGTGAGCACTGATCTCTGGAATGTGGAAGCAGCCGCACGCTTACATACCGTACTGCCTTCTTCACAGGGCACCTCGTCAAGTGTGTTTAATTTCTGATCAGGCATGGGCGTGACATCCGCAACTGTCGGCCAAGCCTCCTCAAGCCTCTGCTCAACTCTCCTGAAGAACTGTTCCCGTTCACGCCCTCCTCGGGTACCCTTCATAACTATTTCCATCCCGCTGTTGAGCTACATAACCATGGCCATTCGGACAGAGAGGACGACGAGGCTTCATGTACCAATGCAACATGTGGAACTCGAATCTTCACCAGTACTGGCACGTGGTCCCGAGGAGCTCTGGACTTGATCACTTGAAGCCGACGTCCCAGCCTGTGTATTGGAGACGCACAGACCGCACTCTCAGAACAAATCAGTGGAATGCCGACGTGGTCGATCATCGAGTGCCCGCTTGCGGATCCGAAACAGGTGGGTGAGTAAGAACGAGACGCGGCAGGCGAGAGCATCCCAATTTCTTCGAGCAGACCTCTGATGTTTTCCCCAGTCCCACGACGATGCACCTCTCGTCCCCGAATACGTCCCACCGCCGAAGTTTCAACATCCTGCTACAATCCCGCCTTCTTCGAGGTCTCAACGCCGTCGCTTACATCGCTCAAGATGATGGGGTGAACTCTAGCGGGGAGGCCTCTGAGTCGATCCCAGGCCCAAGAACTGAGTTGATCACAGCAGGCCAGATAGTTAGTCACCGTGCATGCTTTCCCAGGCTTCCAGGCTTGGGGGGGGGTAGTACAGCACCAGGATCTAGTACAGACCCCCCCTTCGAAATCTCGACCAAGATTCCACGACTTTTCAGAACAGCCCCTGCAGTGTCCACTCGTCGAGCATGCTGTGACTGCCAACGAGGTCTGAGGAAGATCGCACAGCCTGCACCCGATTCGAGAACCCACCTTTGCGCCAGCCTGTGTGCACAACCAGTCGATCTTGCACCTTCTGGATCCTGTCGCGCTCCTGGTCGATCTCTCGTAGCTGGGTTCCTGGCAGGCCGACGACGTCGAACGGTGATAATTCATTTGCCAAGTCTAGTATTATGGGTCCTCATTTGCGCTGCAATTTTTGGA